ATTGGTATCGAACCCCGACCCCAACCACCCGGCGTCATTTTGGACTTCCTGAGGCTCGTTTATTTTAACCGATGTTTCATCGTCTCTGTAAAAATCAAATGAAAAATGGATCAATAAGTAGACATCTGTTTTTCCACAACTGTCCCCGATTTGAACTAGTTTTACCGATGAAATATGTGTGAATGTATTATAACCTCATTGATATCAGAATTTCTCATAAATCGGAAGTTTGTTGATGAATATACTAGTGTAGTATAACATATAACATGCTGGTTTTCTGTAATATTTGAAATAGTTATGGAAATCGAATTTCGCAAATTCGAATTCGGACTGAAAACCCACTGAATAGTGAAAAGTCAGGTAGAATCAAAGCGAGTGGTGGATACAGTTAATTCTAATCAGAAAATCATCCAAATAATTATCACAAGCTTCAAACAATCATTGGTTGATTCTGTAATGTCCAATCGTCAACGCTATGGTTCATTTGTGTGCCTTCTTGCATTCAACCAGTCCGATCAGTGTCACTTGAGACCACAGGATTGATCGGTAAATCCGATTCTTGATTGGTTGCCTGGAAGCTGAACCGTGATGCTTGCGTACTCGATACACGATCACCATATTGTATCAAAGGCCCATTTGTTAGAAACATACTCGCAACTGGCAGTGAATGAAAATAAAGTTCACACATTCACTTTACCTGAACTGAGTTCCTCCTGTTAGTCGATCTGGTCAATCAGTCTGTAACAGTGAGATGTGTACGACCGTAGCACAAGCATTGGTGTTAAAGCGTTTTTGCATGCCGATTTTCCAGCTCGGTACACTGACGAGAAAGAACTTGATCTGATTTAGGCGGCTCTGGACAGTAGATTGTTCGAATGGATCACACCGAAGCCATCCAGTGCGATTCTCAATTGTGGTAAATTGCGTTACCGTAACCACGAAGCAGAGAAATAAAAACGAAGGGCTTTGAAATGTTCCCACCATTTTTTATCGTGTTTTAGCTCTTATTCGTCATGATTTAACTCTGAACAAATTCCTAGTGTTTAATGAGAAAAGAAGAACCATTAAAACGACAAATTCTTCTCCATACTCAAGCTTCTACGTCGATAACAGTCCTTTTTGTGACATTTCTTTAAACAGATGAATGATAGCTAGAAACTCTTCCCCTATTACGTATTCTCTCAGAAAATGAGATGATTTATTTGGTGAAGTAATCGTTTCAGTATCAATTGCTTTTCGCGATACATTCATTTCCCATTTTTACCTGATCTTTTCAAATATCATTTCTGCGGTTCTATAGGCAGAGTCCGAATAGAACAATATGTCGTATGTCATCGGTAGTTGTCACAAAATGGGGAGTGTGCAAAATGTGTGCCTCGATGTACCAATTTCACCTTTCATTCAACATATTTGGGAGTTTTGGGAAAATAAAACGTCCCCAATCAGTGAATGTATGTCTCAATTCTAAATCTCCACTTCGATGGTCTTCCAGTTCATTTGAAATAACTGTCCAATTGGTGTTAGAAAATAGACACAAGTTCTAACCAAAAGTTATACTGAAAAGCGTGCACAAAAGAAATATCGAAAGCCCTAATTGCAAAATGTGGAAGTGAACTGAATAATTTGAGTGCAATCTCAGGGAACTTCAAGTCAGAGAACCAGGTTCAACCAGGAGAGTTGATTTCTTGGGTCCAGTGATTCATATTTTCCAGGTTAGCAACCAAGTATTTCAATTCTCTGTCATTGACCTGCTATAAATCGAACAACTTGGGTTCCTGTCCCTCCGTTGCTACTCAACATGATTTCGTGCAGCTTCACTTTCGCTCGACTCGTTGCCACGTTTATCCTATTACTCCTGAGCCTGGTTCTGAAGTCCCCGAAACTAATGATCTTCAAATTCATCTGATCAAAGTTGTTCCTCGGAAATGTCAAAGTTGGTTACCAAACATGGAGAAGTGGAAAGTTCTACAGAACACTCGAATAAAGTACCATATTCGATAAAAAAAATAGATCTATCACGGTCCAGTTGGTGTTTTTCATTCAGTTCACAAGCAGATGTATTCTGCACCTCAACTTTTATACCAGAAAAATTGTGAGAACACCAATCTGTGTTTAGGCCCTCACTCACCTTCGACCGAGACGGTTCGGTCGGGGTCAGTAACTTGAAATCAAACTTGGGAAAACAACAGCAATCTGGAATTCGAAAGAATATCACCAGTTTCATGTTATTTATGGTATTCGCTAAAAAACAATTATTTTAAGCTTCATCGGGATAACATGAAAGCTGTCGATTAGAATCATAACCAGAGTAGAAGATGGATAAACAGAACATATCAGATGAGACCTGACCTGATCGAACCGCATTGCAAGATTTTCGATTTACTCATCATTTGCTAGGTGCAGGACGAAATTCACCGTGTAACCGAACCAAATCCATCACTACTCGTATGCAACAAAGTAATGAGGTTCGAAATTTATCCAATTTATCCCATTTATCCAATCATGGAAACTTACTCAATTACTTAGTTACTAACCTTCGACCTACCTTCAACTACCCAGTAAACTTTGGGATTTGTAAAAGGAAAGAATTCGAAGACCGTGTCCTTAAGTGCTAATAATCAAGAGAGAAGTTTGTTCTCGATATTTTAATTTCTATGACCGAAAGAGAGACTGTATCGCGATAATTCTCAGCTTAGAGTACCTGATTAAGTAGGAAATCGATGGGATCCCAAACTGACCTATTTGGTTTGTACCAGAAATGAATGGAGTCCCGGGGATCATTGATTTGAGAAATAAATCATCATCTAGCAGCTTACCATGATGATGCGCATTGCTTGCTATATTTTTCAACACAATCCACCCAAAAAAAACACTTCATTTATTATGGTTGTTGTGATACGTAGCCGTGGGGTACAGAAAAATCACGGCGACTAGGAAACCGTGATCAAAAGCGAGTTGTGGGAACCGTCGTTACATAATTCGATGATAAAGTCGGATAAATCATCAAAAGGACTGCACAGTTCAATATGTGCCCCGGACCGAGTCCCTCGTTTAGCCTTGGTCGAAGTGACTGTTGATGACATTGGTGATTGAGCTACCATCAATGTCCAAGCAACTACGTTTATCGTACATGAATCATGACCACAGACGTGCACGCGTATAACCATGGTAAACAATCCAGATATGTCATAGAGATAGGTGCGTTTGTGACCGAAGTACGTCTCAAAACGGTCTCCTACGCAATTTAACAGAAGGTAGAGAAATCAGTGCTGTATGCTGGTCATTCAGGCATCGGTGTGAAGCTTGGACAGTTTATCGGCCTGCAGCGCTGATGATACCAACTACGATCAGTTGTCTTTTAGCTGTAGCGCGCACGAAACGGTGCGTCAACCTTTGTGGTTATCGNTCAGATTAGCGTAACTCAAATGGCTTCATCCACCCACCGATTCAACGTCCGTCAGCGAGCTCGATTAGGTGCACGACTAAGGTCTGCCTCGTTTCAACACGAAAGAGAGTGGGAAGACAAGTATTCAATCCGGGGGTGGAAAAAACGCGTGATCAACTGACCACCAAGGTGCGCTGAACGGAAGCGGATCCAACCGTAGCGTTCCTTTCTCGATCTAAAGTGGCTGTTTCTCAGTCCAAAGTGATGGTTTCTCAATCCAAGAAGACTGTTTCGCAAATCAAAATGATAGTTTCTCAAATTAATCTCACTATGACCAGTGTCGGTGAAAATAAGTGACGGATCAAGTTCTAAACGTAATTCAAAAATTAGAAATGCATCACTCAAAACTTCCGGAGCGCGTCAGAGTCGAATAAGGATGATCGATGCTCTAACAAGGACAAGTGTCATAATCGTTCATTCATGCACACAGGCGCGTTCGCGCGAAAGAGTTTATCCATCGCTCGGATCTGACATCTCATTTCACGCACCCGCTTACCAGTCAATCGTGATTATCGTTCACCAGTTTACATGTTAGTGCGACAGAGCCCATCGATAGACCGAATGATTGTGGCTTTATTGACCACTGTGATGCCGATGCTGATATTCACTTCGGATTTCATGCTAAGCTACTCATCTTCGATCAAAGACAACATATTCCCGCAAAAGTTTCCTAAGCGAACATTTGAATGACCAAATCACACTCTGATCCACTGGTTGTGACATTGAAGAACAGTTCGGAGACAATCGTAATAAACTGACATTGGAGAATACTGCGGCTTTGCTATGATAAGGGGCATTATTTATAAATAGTAAAATAGAGCGTCTTGAAAAAACTATCTTGCGGTTGACATCGAACAATCAGCTGTGAAATAACGCAGAAAGTCCAAATCCAAGAGGCTTTTGAGGAACTGTGACTGCAGAGAAAGTTTTTCTATCTATACCCCAGAGATATCGTGGAGTTCGATATTTTCTAATAACCAACGGCGATAAATTTTCTCCAGTTATGCTCCCACACAACAATAACCTGACTCTTTCTTTGGATTCATTAAATTCAGAAACTACTTTTCCTTTGAGACTTAATGTTCTTTCTGGGAGCTGCTTTTGATACAAAGCTGTTTCATGTGTATTGAAACTTTCACAATCAGTGTATCCATGGGTCAACTGTGATGACCCGCTCAAAAATCGTCCACTGCATTACGTGGAATCGCCAAAGTAATACACGTGAGTAGTTGCTTGTCTCGTACTTTGTAGGACTGAATAACACATCTGCCTCACCAAGAGCGAAATCAACTGTTGAAATCCTAGAAATCATAATGATGCATCCCTTGTGCTATCTGGATTGTCCTCTTAAAATGATGTTCTTCATCATAGGGAACTCGCCGCCTTTTTCCATCATAGCAGTAAACCAAGCCAAGGTTGCCTTACGCACAGTCTTTCGTTGATTTTCAGGTGGCATTTTTCCTGAGATGCTATAGCGTCCAGAAATAATCCGACAGTGTTTTGACGGGATATTGTACTGTAAACAATTGTTCTTGAAATACCAAGTGATTCGTCTATGGAGCTCTGAGTTGCACCTGGCTGTTTTAGCATTTCCAACACGTTCTGATCGATGGGTTATTGCACATTTTGAAGTCTAGTGATACTGTCTTCGATTATTGTCATCGGTGTGTCATCCTCGTAAAAATCAGTTAATCAGAGAAAGGTATCATGTTCACGTCACACTAGATGAAATGCCATTGATTAAGTGCGACATTACAGGTTGGCTGGTCAATGGCCGTCCGGAACACTAGTCAACGACCAAGTGAGTAGGTATCAGGAACTGCGACATGTTGAGGGAGAGAGCCGACACTGCACGATCAGAAACCATGTTATTACGCATATGGTTGGTTTGGGTTTTCCAAAAAGTGGGAAAATATTGAGAAATGCGACGTCTCAGTGCAGCAACCGAGCAGGAGATTGAATGTATCCTAAAAAAATTCGATTTCACATTTGATAAACACATTCGATTAGTTCGTCGGAGTACAGCTCACTACTGAACTACAGATATGGACTGAAACCGCCGCCACGGACCGAATGGCTTGTTAACGTTTTATGTTTTTGTATTATATACTAGAATGAGACCGAATAAAGAACAAAGTTGCAACAACACAAAACGCACCAATTCTCATACAAACCCGTGATATGCAATCAAAAGGGATAGATTTTGGATTGTCGAGCCCATAAAATTTCAAAACAATGCTGTTGATAAACATTGTACGGAATTTGGTGCACTGTTCATGAAATAATTTTATCGTCCAACATTGAGCACTCCTAATTGATGATCGCCAAGCCACAACACACAACTCTGACAAATCTTCACACGGGATTGAGAGACGGAATCTGAGGATCATTCAAATGGCATTTTAAACACTGTAGTTAATATTGATGCAAAAATAACAAATTACACCTTTAGCTAGTGCTGTGAGTTTAATATGAATTACAGTCTAACTCATGAGAGTTAATTGTGGTACATTTTCTTCAAACCAGCATGAAAGACTTGATTGGATGGAATGCCTTGGGCTAGATTTAACTGTCTCTGTTTGTATGTGTCCGGTTAGACGATTGACCTATTATTAAAAATGTTTTAGAAATGTACTGGAATACGTAAACAAATAGGTGAACAATCTGGATATGAGCTGGTTACACATTGATAAACACAGACCGTTCATACAAAGGGTCTATTGTGCAAATGCTGAACGGACCAATGGAATTGTAACATTGATAATAGCTAATCAAACAGAAACTCCATTTTGGTATTTTCTGGGTTCACAGTTAACTGGATGAACTAAGACTTATCACCAGGTATGAAGACGGAAGGATTTGTAGATGTTCGCTTTTGCCTTGACATAGGCATTCATAAGCAAATCCATTTTAGTAATCAGCCAGAACGTTAATATCATCCCCGGAGCTGATTCTGTCAGATATCCCAGAGTTACTTTGTCATATAACGGTTCTTGATCCAAGCATTTTGAAAATCTATACATTCGGATTCTCAAATTATCCTATTTTCCTTTCCGAAATAAAAAAGCTTACTATTCCCTAAATGTATTTCTTATTGCTTTCTTTAGTGCCAAATTGTCGGAAATGCTGAAGATCCACCGTATTCGGGTGCACAGAGCTTAACTTGATTTGACTTACCCGGTTAAACATAGTTTGTCACACATATCGCACACGGCTGCTCACGAGTCACGTGAAGTTGGTGAAATTGCCCCCCCCTCCCGTTGAAAAATTATGAGTAGTCAAATCTAGGACAGCAGAGATTGCTATTATCAGTAAATTTTGGGTATTGAACCTACTGGAGTATTTATGAGCTTATAATATCTTGGAAACTGACTTGAAAAATCAAAGAATACAGCAGTGAGTTGTATACAGAATAACGCAAATGGTTTATGTGCCATAACTATTGGTAATCTCATCAGTTAACTTATCTCCACACGAAATTAGGTTGTAATAAATTTATACACTGCTATGGATCATATTATGTCAGTCTACCCGCACTATCAATGATAAAACTGTTTCTGTATAATGGTTATTAAAACCGAATGCTCTTTGAAAAAAGCATATAATTATGACCGCTGCGTGAATCATTTGCATCGCTAAGTGTTTAGCCAACTGAGTCTTCGTTTGTCCCCGACGACTCACAATCGGCTTCATTCCTCATGTCCACCCGAATTGAAACAGGTCATTCTGAATTCAATGCACAAATACCAACCTCGAATCCACATTATCCACGTGCCTGTTGTGGATTCGGATCCGGAGGTGCAAGCCCTGCAACTGGATCAACTTTGCAGTGCAAGTGATATTGGCCTAAGGGCACTGAAGAAAACATTTGTATTCGAAGAAACACAATTCTACGCGGTTACGGCGTACCAAAATCACCGGGTGAGTTGTTGTTTGAAAACGTGTTTTCTTACGTTACCCGTTATGCAATCAACTTGACTATGTCGTCGAGGCTTTGGGGATCTGTCTATCTGTCTGTCTGCTGTCTGTCTACCTCTATCCGTCTGTCTGTTTGTAGGATTGCTCTTACTGGTAAAGTTATCACGAATTATCATCCGATAAAAGAGGAAATAAAATAGAACAACCATACTCTAACCAAGAAAAATCACGCACAAATCACCTGGAACTGTTGGTTTTGATGAGTTCTCCGAGCAGGAAGTGTTGATCGTAGACGTTTCGTAGCCAAGCTAGGCAGCATCATCAGTGGGACTTCGAGGAAGCGGGACATGGCTTATATAGTTCTGTTTGAGGGTTGTGATTGACTGTTTGCGTCCGTTTAATCCTATTGGTCAATAGCAACCGTTTGCTGTGATTTGATTGGCTGTTCCGTTGTCAAACCCCTAGAACTGTGTTCGCAATAGCAAATGTTAAATGTGATGTATTCAAACTCTCCACTAACGTGTAATTACCGCAGAAGGAGGATTCGATTGTACGAGGTCACCGATATACCCGAACGTTGTCCTCGTGGCAGATTGAGTGTCCTCTCTATTTTAAGACTGACTTCGGTTACTCGTTCAGTACCTTCAGATGCTTCGGATCAGTTGTTGTTTCCTCAATGAAAATCATATCAATCTTCCCGTCAGACCGAAAAGCTTGTCATAACTTGATAGAACCTCCTCCATTTGGGAATGGGGATACAGTCATTACGCTTTTGTATCTCTATCCCCTCGGTCTCCATATTGTAATTTTGGGAAACAATTTACCACTTTCATTCTGATGAGAAATGACACAGATGCTACATAGTGACCTGTTCCCATTAGGTAATGAAGATCCCCTGCGTACCGTTTACAAAAATTAGGTCTTCAGAATGTACCTTATTGCATTTTGGAGATAGTAGGGACAGTTTTAGGCAGTTTGACAGACTTGTGTGCGATCTGTTTGGTTGATGTAAGGTTCTCAACGCTTGATCAACAATGTGTGTGTGTTCTGTTCCTTGAGACCAGAGTGACTGAGTGCGTCTGTGCGTATATGTGTGTACACGATCGCATTCGATCATGTCTCTGTCAATTAAGATCTGTCCATCTGTGGATTCTTTATAGCCGCAAACAATGTGATGATGTTGCATCACTCCCTCCGAAAGTAGCGCAATATAGATAAAATCTGGATTAAAATGTGTATTGTCCAGATTCGATTCACCTTGAAAGATACAGAACCGATAATTCCTAAGCCGCATGCATCAACTCTATAGAGCTTCCAAACCTGTTGGGTGATGTGAGTGATACACTGGTTTCACATGTTGAAAACCCCCTCATTTGGCAAAACGCTGTTTACGTCAGTCCATTAATTTCTATATAACCAAATTGATAAAATTTGATACAATAGCCATAATATCAAATCAGTTATTAGAAAATGTACATTTTAATTAATTTATTCTAGGAGATATGTTCCGGTAAGGGCTATTTGTTGCATTTCGGGTGCTGTCGTTAAAGTACACTCGTATCACGCCATTTAAATCAGACCTACCTCGGATAGTTTGAAATATGTCCAGTCGCACACGAAGAGCGAACGGGAATCACTTTGTTGTGAAACAGAAACACGACAAAGTATCAGAGTTGGAACAAGGAAAAACAGTTGCCTATCAAGACGTTGACATTGGCACAGTTCTAGGGAGAAATCGGAAATTAGATAGGAGATATCTAATCACGCGCGAAGCATCTCGCACATGTTGTTTCCAGTAAAGCAAGAAGTACTGGACAGCTGTTTTGACCTGGTTGGGTCTCATCAATAGTGCG